CGCGGATCGAACGACCCTTGTTTTTCCCAGCATCGTAGAGGTATTCGTAGCTCACCGTGACGTCCTGACTACCGACAGCTATCGGTCTTTCTGTGATCGAGCTTGAACAGAGTTGGCCGTTCCTGCTTGACCATTGTTGTTCACTCCCAAATAGACACACGAACTGTTGAAGCTCGCTCAGTACCTTCAAGCCACTGGCCTTGTAGCATTGCTCAAGTCTGCCCACCGCGCACTCCAAATGATTGCTTCAACTTAGCTTGGCAAAAGCTCTGTCGTCTAAAAATCACAGGACTGCAGGGCAATAGTAAATGCAGCTTCATCATCATCGACAGCATGACATCAGTGTTCAACACCGATGCTTTACTGCCATACAACCATGATTAATCGAAAGCCTTATTGTAAAGAAAAGAATGAAGGTGGACGGAGGAGTGACTTAGTGCTAGCTTAACACAATCATTTCGAGGTGCCTACACCTCCAGACATTCACTCAGGCGATTCGGATAGAAGTTGACAACAAGAACGCCACTGACATCGATTGACAGCCATATCTTGCAGTGTCACCAACCAAGCACAGTGAGGATCACGCAGTCCCCATCCTGGAAGGCGAGTAGCACCGACACCACCCAAGCGTTTCGTGGTCTCCTTCATACTCCTCTGCCAAGTCAAGGGTTGGTCATCTCTCTGTTTACGTTACTCTGAATGGGGCATGGAAAACAGCACTCTCTACGGCAAACGATAGTTCGGCATACATAATGCATGTCCAAACCAATGCAGCTTCTGGTGCTGGACACAGTTTTCAATGAAAGTACCCGCTGCACAATTAAAAATTTGCTTTCTAACTGCCTCGTTATGGATTCACTGACGCCAACCCACACGAGCTATGGTTCTGAGACAACGATTGTCGAACGCCTGAAGACGTCTCAGTTCTGCCGCTCAAATAGGCTAAGTCTCACATCAATACACAAATGCAGCTTGGAAGAAAGATTATCTGTCTCGAAACGGGTGAAAACCCTGTTCAGCCTCAGTGAAAAAGCAAGTTTAGGAGTTCGAAAAAAAAAATTTGATCGGATGCAGGTTGTCATCCATAGAGTCTGAGTTTCTTTTACTAACTCTCATTTACCTCCTACTGCACTTTGAATTAGCGTAACTGGATGAGTACAATAGATTTGTGCTCAAAACTTTGATTAATTCGCTACTTCTGAATCCACCTACCGGGAAAATAAACCCCTCGGAGTTACACAAAGTGAACTTGAACGGGACAGTACGTCCATTTCAACAGGATTTTTATCAATGCGAGACAGAAGATAATTCCTGAAAATGCTTGTTTTTAGTGACCACGATCCAATGTGAAACGAAGACCCAGGGAATATTTCCTAGGATGAGAAATGACCTACCAATGTCTCCCAGTTAGAGGATTTTTAATGGGTACTTTAATTCACAGAAAGCTTGAGAGCATAACTGATATCATACATAAGGTAGCCTGGTTTCCTTTTACAACTCCGACCATTAAGTTCCAACTGAAGCGCTGAAAACATCAAACTGTAGTTGCACCTTCTCATGGACTAATTCATGTGACCGTATCGAGCTCCGTCTGTTGAGTGTGCGCAGAGGGGTGGAGAGGCGGAACTTCACTTCGCTGACGACAGGAACAAACAGTTTAGGCTCAAGCGCTATCCCGTGAAAACTTGACAAGATCGATCAAACTACATGGGAATATGCAACGTCTGGTGTCGTCCACCGGCCACCTCAAAGTCGATCAAGATTCGTTAGAGTCACAGTGTTATAGAACGCTGATTCCTTTGAAATTCGGTCGAGGAACTCGTAGCTCTGAATTCGGAAGTAGAACTTGTGCTGGGTATCAAGCAACCCATCTAGGTTCTCAGGAGCGGCAATAATTGAGGCATTTTTCCGAATGAACCTGTTGATGTTGTCCTCCGTTCTGCAAGTACCAGAAAACATCCAAGTGAAGTACGTTTGATAGAATATTTGGGAGTGAAATTTGCGGAATACACTCATTTGCAAACCAATCTGGTGTTCACGGGAGACGCAACTAATGTCTGGTGTCCCCCAACTGAATGCGCCGCACCGAGGACCCATCAACTTTCACTTGACACGGTATTCAAGATATCGCATTCAGTTTTCTTGAAACATAATGCTCAGAACATTTCCTTCGAGAATATTTGGCAACCGAATGAGTAGTTTCCTTCGAGTAGGAAATGATTCTTCCATCCCAAGTACAACTGCCAAATCACACTGATCGGAAACGTGTGCTTTCACAATCTTGGATGTCAATTTTTTTGGAAGATGGGGGCTCTCATTCTTAAAAATAGTGAGTATTGTTCATCGAAACCGAGAGGAAGGACCACGAAAACATACATCGTCTGGGATTCATCTAATTCCAAAAGGACCGTAAAAGTTGTCGAGTACTCATTCCAAATATGAACGTCTCTATAATCCAACAAATTCTTAGACAATGATCTAATCCTGTCTATGATGCCCATTCATCGTTTTAAAAATGCCAGACAGACATTTGGTGAATTTGTTACTGGGCAACGTTTCGCTTCAGATACAGGGCCGGCTGAATAGGCCCAAGATTTAATTAACAAGGCGAATCAGTCAGCATGAACCGCTTCGTTTGGCATAAATCTCCGCGTTTATTGTTGGTTGAAGAGCCTTTTTGGGTAATGCAGTTGCTCAAGTATTACCACCAATGGGGATAGAGGATGATACCATTTTTTGGGTCCCGATCCCAGACCTTTTACTTAAACGGGGGGTTGCAGGTTTATTGATTTGTGTGGGTCAGTACTTGCCAGGACAGTCTGGTTTGGAATATTTGGGAGTGAAATTTGCGGAATACACTCATTTGCAAACCAATCTGGTGTTCACGGGAGACGCAACTAATGTCTGGTGTCCCCCAACTGAATGCGCCGCACCGAGGACCCATCAACTTTCACTTGACACGGTATTCAAGATATCGCATTCAGTTTTCTTGAAACATAATGCTCAGAACATTTCCTTCGAGAATATTTGGCAACCGAATGAGTAGTTTCCTTCGAGTAGGAAATGATTCTTCCATCCCAAGTACAACTGCCAAATCACACTGATCGGAAACGTGTGCTTTCACAATCTTGGATGTCAATTTTTTTGGAAGATGGGGGCTCTCATTCTTAAAAATAGTGAGTATTGTTCATCGAAACCGAGAGGAAGGACCACGAAAACATACATCGACTGGGATTCATCTAATTCAAAAAGGACCGTTAAAGTTGTCGAGTACTCCTTCCAAATATGAACGTCTCTATAATCCAACAAATTCTTAGACAATGATCTAATCCTGTCTATGATGCCCATTCATCGTTTTAAAAATGCCAGACAGACATTTGGTGAATTTGTTACTGGGCAACGTTTCGCTTCAGATACAGGGCCGGCTGAATAGGCCCAAGATTTAATTAACAAGGCGAATCAGTCAGCATGAACCGCTTCGTTTGGCATAAATCTCCGCGTTTATTGTTGGTTGAAGAGCCTTTTTGGGTAATGCAGTTGCTCAAGTATTACCACCAATGGGGATAGAGGATGATACCATTTTTTGGGTCCCGATCCCAGACCTTTTACTTAAACGGGGGGTTGCAGGTTTATTGATTTGTGTGGGTCAGTACTTGCCAGGACAGTCTGTGCAACAAAATCGCGTTGGCTTTTGGCGATTTAGGTTGCGTACTTCAGATCAAGCCACTTGTGTTGGTGACCCTTCTAAACGGTAACTGAAAACTGCTGTGTATCGGTTCAACTAATCTGAGGCCGCCCTCCACACGATTGCCACTTCCGCGTCTTTTACGCCACCCATACTGGGGTCGTGTGGGAAGCTTTCACACTACTTTCACACATCATAACATCAACATGTGTTTGTTTCCCACCGCTGCTGAGTACTCGCCATGCGTTCTACTACCCTTCACGTCTCTTTGTGGTCTGTCATGTGTCTTGTTCTCACAATTTTGGTAAAAACGTGTGCAATCAAGTATTTTGATTCCAGCAATTGTTAACCAAACCCTTCTGGAACAATCACTTCCTGGTACGTTCTAAACCGCTTTAACTGAGTGAAACCATTCTGTCTCTAGAAGCCGCGAAACATTTTACGGTTGTTTCATCATCGTTGGGAAATACCAGGAAATACGAAGAATCTCAACGGTAATTCACTAACCGTTGACTAGCGATGGGACTGGTCTTGATTTAGCCAGCAAATTGCCTCAGAAAACTTCAGCTGCCCATTCAACGTCATATGATGGGACTTTGGCTAAGTTTTTTTGTGAGGCATTCATAGAAAAGAGTTCCTTGGCGGACATTTATTCTCCTCTTGAATAAGTTAACCGTAGTTTATTGCTAGTCAGAAGGTTCAGGAATCTCAAACAGGATAGCACCTCACTGGAAACGTCAAACTTTGCCAAGCAGTTGAGAAGCGCCGGGGGACTGTTTCATCATTTGTAAAATAATGCACTGCTCCTTTTAGCCGTTATATAAACAGTGTTCTGTTGTCTGCGGGGAAGCACGAAATTCAAACGAACGAGATGAGTTTGAAAAACACTGTTTATCATAATGCTGAACATGAGAGGCAACAAGACCAAAAAAATCTCTACAGGCGAACGAAACACACTCACTGGCATACCATACTGGCTTACTTTGATTTCAGCAGCCCTACGAGTAGTATATTATGTCCGAAACTCAGGGGTCGTGTTCTTGAACGGGAAGATTTTACATGTTGTGTGAATATTGACCATGACAAGACATACGTTTTCTTCGTTGTGCCAACGTTGCCAAACTATGACTGCCAAGTAATCGGACAGAGATGAGTGACTCAAGGACTGATTAACTCTAACTGCGTGACAAGAAATGAACTATGTTCACTGAAGACTAATCAGCTCCAATCCAAATTCTTCATCATGTTTGTCTTTGCAGATAAAACTCCATCCCGTCAGTCTTCACCATCACTTGACCTGGAGAACGACGGTTACATGAGTAGCGACAACCAAACGGACACCATTCGACTGTCAGATTTGAAAGCTCCAACTGTAAGTCACCATTATCCCCGAATGTGTGGCTTGAAACCGTCGCCAATTTTACGGCCGTGGAGCAATGGACGAGTGTTTTTTTTCAAACCGATTGGGAAATGTTTGCCCTTAGCGCATGATCTCAATTTTCAAAAAGACGTTTTTACCCAGAATGTGTTTTTCTTGAACTGTTGACTCGTTCAAATGTGTTTACGTGTTATCTCAAAAGGGATGTCACTGAACTAGAAAAGCACTTCAAATAGGTTTACATCTTTCGAATTCCTGAAGCATTACTAGGTCAGACATTCTCATTTTCCATTTTCACCCTAAAATAGTTTTAAATCTTAAAATTCTTAAACGAATTTCCACTAACTCGGTTTTGTGCCCAGTTGGGTGTATCCTTTGGCGCGTTACCATGGAAAGCCTGGTGGCGTACGTCATCCACAAAAAGCAAATGGAAATTTTACTCTTATCTTACGGCAGTTGTTTGGCGCTAAAAGTAAATGCAACCAATCCACTTGCTTGGCAGCTCATCCGGGAATGCACGTGAAACAAACGAGAATTACGTTTGCTCTAGAAGCCTATTGGTGGAGTCGACGGACCAGTTAGAAACAACGTCACTGTATGGCGCGCGGGAAGAAAGCTAGATTTATTCTAGTCGTTTTACTTCCAGCCCCAGCTGAAGCACTGTGGTTAGAATTCCTAGTTACAGTTTGCAGCAAGTATGGAGCATCTAACCATTTGCTTCTCGTTTTGTCCTCGTTTTTCTCCACATGGTCTTGTGGCTATTTTGCATGCTGAAAGGGGCATTAGCCACAAGTTTGCTTTGGTCAGATTCCATTCCGAATTTCATACTTGGATCTTGTCGGCTTAACTACAAGTTCACTTTGTTTACCCAACCGGGCTGTGTGAATTCTTAGACTGTCTGCCAACGGAATAAAATGTCTGAACACCGTTAGGCCTTCCGGTTGTGAAGAGAGATCATCACTTTGTGTAAACAGCTCTTTTCTGTAACGATTAAGTCCCTCTTATGAAGAGAAATTCTCAAAAGGTACCCATTTTGTTTGACTACATCAGACATTCGCTGTGGCTTGTGAGCAAGTGGATTAGGCACTAAGAACAGGACAACAAGGGCCTGGGGATCGTACAGATCAGGATCATATCGTTCATGAATAACGTTGTAGTAATAGTTCGCCCTTGAACCATTAACAGCGCCACTCATGTGTATACTATTCCCCTAGCTCAACCACGAGAACATCCCATCACTGCTAGGAAAGTCGAACTCCGTAAGTAGAGATCAATCTGGTGAAATACACTCATTTGCAAACCAATTTGGTTTTAACGAAAGACTCATCCGGAACCCAGCTGAATGTCTCTTTGCTGATGTTTTTAAACAACCAGGCTATCTCATGTTTCAGTTGGTGTGATACACGTATAGACGTAATGCATTATTCATGAGACTGCTGAATGCACTTCAGCAGCCCATGTGATTATGGACGAGAGATTCCGCTGAGTTACAGTTGAGTCTTCCGTCAAAACCAATCCAGTATGCGAAAGAATGTATTTCGCCAATTTCGTGCGATTTGGGTGTCAAGTAGAACATCAGAGTGACAGAAACTCGGGGACTGCGCCTACCTGATGAGCCCCGAAAATGGTGAAACCGGTTTTGCGGTTTTGAGGAGTTGCGTTGTAAAATTAGTAAGTTATTACCGACAAACAAGTGCCCGCCCGTCAAATATTTACACACGTTCATATATACTCTGCGACGCGCTCTGAAGCACCACTTTGCACACTAACAGAGTAGAACCTTTGATCTGTGTGATCCCTGATCAATGTTCTTAACCTCGACTAATGTCGTTCAAGGTCACGAACGCAGCGCGGCCAATAATGCGGATAATTCACCCGCTACGTGGATCACCAAAGTACTGAAATTTAGAGTTTGGCTGCGTTAACCAGAAAACCGTCCGTAAACTACTACTGACAGACGGAAAGCTTTACCGTTCCTGAAACACAGGAATGTTGATTTATGCGACGAAACTAGTTCGTCAAAAATATAGCTACACCGTCATACTGCATATCGTTTTCCAGTACGCCAATGCTCGCTAGTTTAGCTAATGAGGCCACGTTTGTTTAAAGATCATACAATAAGCCTTTAAGTAAAGCTGGGTGCCAGGTAAGTATCCCGTCGAAACTACTCATTTTTGGGTTCAAGTAAAACACAAATTTGACGGGAACTCGGGGAATGAGTCTACTTGATGAGTCCCCCGGGAAAAGCGAAACCGGTCATGTGCTGTTGAATAGTTTACAGCGACTTTATGGGTAGTTTTCTTTGTGAAAATGATGTTTTCTTTCCGAAATTAGGTCAGGTCGCATAAGGCAGCGGACAGTTTACACAAATCCCCCAAAAGACCCAGATTTGAGTGTGTTAGTGCTCTAGTTGTGACGTAAGTAAGTTGATTATTAGAAGGATACAAGCACTAACAAACGTCTGCCTTACTAGAATGTGATGAATACAATATTTAGGTGTACTTGATAAAAATAAATAAATGCCAAAAAGTGGCTTATCGTTTGGGGACACTTGCTGAGAGCTCCTGAGTGAAGTTCCGGACACGGGACGTATCTTCTCTGCAGTATAGCTGCTGAACGTTTTCCGTAGTTGCCTGTGGAGACTTGCGGAGCTCTGTTGACTTCTACTCTGTGCGCGCGTGTGTGTGTTGAGCCTAGTTGTATGCCCATTTATTGTGTGCATTGTGAAGAGAGGGGTGTCTCTTCGTGTTTGATGCTTGCACAAACATGAATACAACTTGACCTAATGTGTTGAAGTTCATAATCCTGGCGCGTTACGCAAGTGGTAGCCGCGTGAACAAAAACGGATGACGTTGGCTGACGTTGCAAGTGGGACAGGATTTGTCACGTGACGCGTGATCTGATGAGTGACCTCTACAAGTGCACGCAGCTCATGCCGGTGAAGTAGTGGCAACACACTCACATCTCGGACAACCAGAGCGCCAATACACCCAAAGGATTTAGGCGTACTTGGAAATCCATTTCGATTGGGCGTTCGATGATTGGTCGCGAGTTGTACTTTGACAAAAACACGGTTCTCCCGGGCAACTTTCTTTTGTTTTGGATTTCCTCCTACCGGTCACGGTGGCTTAATTTGCGAGTATGTATATTCGTGTAGTCAGTTTCGCGCAACATCCGAATAGACGTCGGGTTCAAAAATCCGACTTGCTTTCACCCACGGGTGGAAACTAAAAAACTTTGGTTGTATGACATTTAGACAAAGGATTCACTCAACATCATTAAAACTGTCTGCACGCGGAAACTATTCCACTTCCATCCCCAGATCGGATGCTCCTGCTTCCATCTGCCACGCATCAAGTTGCACACAAAACGAATACGGCAATTCAGTGATTCACCCTCACAGCTTTCGTTGGACATTATTCAGAATGGTGTCTCAGCAAACAAGCAAGTCCGATGTAATGTCCCCAAACGGGACAACGATGATGTGCACGAGACAGCCTGGAGCGACGGTTGTGTTTTTGGCAACCGAGCCGAAAGTCTAAGCGAACTAACCGAGGATGCTTCTCAAGTCACTGCCCTCAAACTGACAGTGCCGGATTCCAAATCCCAGGACAATGCTCCGAAGCAAACGAAGCGTCGACTCAAACTCTGTGCGCCGTGTACCATGGAGAACAAGTTCAATGCTTCCGTGCAAATTCGGAAAGCAAAGAAACTGTTTAGCGTATTCTGTTGGGCTGTCCTGACAACGGCAATGCTAAGCATCAGTCTAACCATCTGGATTCTTTGTGGCACTCAGTCGTTTGTGCTTGCACAGCTCCCCAATGACACAACTTCGGTAAGTTGGACCGATTTCCTGGTATTTTCTGCTCGCTGATGTAGCTTTGAGGTGTGACTAGTTGGAGACGTACTTTTATGATAACAGCTGCAGGTTCGAAAGTCCTTGGGCAGAATACATTGCAGTTAAGGTGTTAACACTGACTGCCTCTAACTGTGGAGGTCCGAAAAATTATCCCGTAAACACCGTCAATAAAAGTTGGAATTATGGCGCAATACAGTATGAGAAACCATTGCCGTAAAGGGGATAAAACGGGAAGTGACCAATCAAAGCCTGCCGGTATTGGGAGAAGATTTTTGGATTTTCATCTGGGATTTTTTTTCCTGCAATTCAATACAATTGATGCTGAAATGCTGAGATGCATCACACAGTTGTTTCACTCTTACTTCAACTCCCTGTAGTACGCACTTCAGATGTAGCTGCACTCATTTTTTAAACTTGGAAAGCAGATCACTTGATCACGTGCTGACCGGCTTCGTGGGTGACAACCCAGATGGATAAAACCCGAATGGTCAAAAGTTCTCATTTCTATGGGCTATTCCTCCAATCTATGTTTCATAGATGCTTATCCACACTCATCAATACCAGGCCCAATGGAATCACAATTTTACTTCGTTTTATTTAGGATATGCATTCAGTTCTGTCATATATAATACCTAGTGAAACAATCGAAGAAAATGTCGATTTCGGTTAATCAATTAGTGACCTATTGATCGTTTAATTCCCACCGCAACTTTGTCAACTTTTCAGGCGAAACTAGTAGAATTCTCAAATTTTGACAAGTCATCATAAACCTCTCAACCATATGCCATCGAGCGGGAACTATGGACTTGCCCAACTAGCGAAATGCACTCGTATTTGCAAACCAATTCGATTTTGCGGGAGACTCACCTGGAACCCAGCTGAATCTCAGGTTTTTGATGAATGAAATATTTAGCTGAGTACTAGGTGAATCCCCGCAAAACCAAATTAGTTTGCAAATGAGCTAACTTAGCCAGTTTTGTGCCACTGGGGTTAAAGTAGGGCTGTGTCTATCTGATGAACCCCAAAAGGGCGAAACTGGATATTGGCTGCCTAAGGGTCTTCAGCAACCTTGTGAGTGTTTGGTTATTGGTCTGTTCGCCGAGATTGCCAGTTGGATTGCAAACGTTTCATCACCAATCGAGATGACATCGTCAGTGGAGGGTTGAATAACGATGTCACTGACGATGTCACCTCGATTGGCGATGAAAAGTTTGCAATCACGGCGAACAGACCAATAACCAAACAGCGCACCCGAACTATCTACATTCCACAGCATTGTGAGTAGTGCATTGCGTCTAAGCTTACCTAACTGTTTTTTAAACAGTGTTTTCGCAAAATCTATGTCTGATTGCCTGACATAATTTTTGAATTTTTGGTCCAATACACTAAATTAATAGCCAAAATAACCACTAGAATAACTGACCAATTTTCCTGACAGTACGAACACGACTGATATCGTAAATCAGGGATGAAATGGGTGCTTGGTTTCAGCAAAACTCCCAAAGAGAAAAAATCATTCCTTGCCTTCAGTGCACCCCCAAAACTTGGTTGCTTGGTCTTTACCCCGTTTCATGCAAAGCGGCTTCACTGGCAAAAGATTCCACACAAGTGTAACGGTAGATACTACTGATGGGGCATACCAGTAGTATGTTTTCTCTTAAATTCCCTCCGCGTCTCTTGCAGAATCTGTGGAGTCGCATTTCTTTGTATTTGAGTAGCAGTCAGGAAGATGCGTTCAAGGGAAGATGGATATTCAGTTCTTTTGTAAACAAGATGTATATGAGAGTTTTGCTTCCCTGTCCAATATTCTGTAACTGTTCAGTTGGTTTTTTTAATAAAGAGCTCCGTAGTGAAGACCTTCTCGCTCTCATATGCAGCTAACAACAAAGGCCGCATGAGTGCGGCTCAGCTGTTCACGTTGTTAGTTGACAGACGGTCTTTCAAAGCCCCGCGGGACAGGAGTTAGGCTATCTTAATATATGGACATTGATGAATGTCTCCTCTACTTTGTTTCATCGTGTCCAACACCCGGAACTGCACTTTTTCGGTGTTTCTTGTGGCTTCGATGGCACGTTCCCGACACGGATTCTACTAGAAAGCTTTGGGCAAACACTGGGTGTCCCAATCAATGTATCGCTGCAATCAGGCGTCATGACTGAGGGAACACCGATATTTACTGAACTTTGTCGTCCAACGATGTATTTTCTTGACTAGACGAGCACCTCCAATGCACAGTCACACTATAGAAATACTGTTCTTTGGCTTGCTACTCCATTTCAGTGAGCCCTTGGGCAGCATACTGTCAGTTAACGTGAGCAGTTTGCATGCATTCCCATCGCAATCATCGCACTACTGACTCACTTGTTGCTTGGTTCGGAAAAAACGCACCAATTATGCGTTAAAGCTTCAAGGTAAAAAAAAGGAACGTCAAATCGGCAGGCATCAAACAATAACCACAGCACTAACACACTGTAACCAATGTGATCACATTTCCACAGAGGTGGAAATTTCGAAGAGTTCATGGTATGCAGCACCGGTTTACCTCTTCGTTCAAAGCGTGTCGATATCAATTCAGTTCTAAAATTATCCGGCTGGTAATCTCTTTCGACTAAGCGTCTCTTTTAAGGCATTTGCAATGTTCGAACGAGGCATGAATACTGGGATACCGTATTTATTGGCAGTCCGATTATTTATGAAGCTCATTGTGTCTCAGCCAGATGCGCCGTCTGTACGAACCGCCTGGCTGATGCGTGGTTTTGACCTTGAAAACAAAAA